GAACATCATCCTGAGTGAGGCTAGCCAGGCCCAGAAGACCAAAAATCATATGTTCTCCCTCATATGCGGATTTTAGATCAAGGGCAAACACAACAAGGGGATTGGACTTTGATCACATGATGAGGCGAGAGCACACAAGGGAGGTATGAGGATAGGTAAGAAACCCAAAAAAACAAGATAGCATTTGATGTCCTCAATGCAAAAACTTTAAAGCAACAGAGGCCAATAGGAGAAGGGGACCAGGAACTAGAGAAGAGGTTAGTTCGAGAAGAATAAACTTAGAATGTAACACATATGTACAGGAAAGCAATGCGAGGAATCTCCCTGTATAGCTATCCTTAGCTCAACTAGCAAAAACCCTTGGTCCTCCTTATTAATGTTTATACTCTCTCTACAACAAAATTAGAGATAAGGGAAAAATAGTTTCTGCCTGGAAGTGAGAGGGTAGGGGAGAAGGAGGAGGGGGCGGGGAGAAAGGGTAAGGGTTGGGGAAGGGGAGAGAAATGACCCAAACATTGTATGCACATATGAATAAAAGAAAAAAAAAGATGCAGGATCCAAAAATGATGCTGAAAGCCAGGTGGAGTTCTCTTTTAAGCCAGGCAAAATTGTGGTTTTTCAAAGAACAGGAACATTCTTGCTACCTATTTGCTAACATGTTGCTGACCTCTGCCATATCTTCTTGCCATTCTTGATTCCAAAACAACTTATAGCATAACATCCAAAGACGTTCCATTTTTAAGGTAATGATTTCAAGCCTCTTGAATTGACAACCGAAGTCAACCTGAGATATCTTTTTAAAAAGGTTATAATGCTGTTTCAATCATCTCTTTCTGTATAACAACTAATCCCAAAACAGTGACTTAAAGCACCAATGATTTATTCTTGCTCATAATTCCATGGGTTAATGGGAAGTTTCTTTATCTGGCCTTACTTGAACCCACTCACATGGCTACATTCAACTGATCTGGAAAGTCCATGACACAACCCTAATCTAAAACCTCTCAAGTTATATTTGCTCTTGAATCATGCCCAGTATTACAGAGAATTCCAGGTTCAGTCAGTCACTTTCTTTACCAGAAGTATTCTGGTATCTATTCCTTGGTACTGAGCCCAAGCCACCCAGTGCAGACTTCTTCCCCTTCCTTATAGTTCCCCATTTGGGACCTTGGTGTCTCTTTGTGTGAACAGAAATCTAACAGGATCATATTGTCCTCAAACTTTGAGTCTAAATTATCATCTCAGTCCTAAATGTCTGACTCTAAAGATAAGAGACCAAAAAATTTGAACTTCAAAGTGAAATTTTTGGAGTCTCTATTCTTTTCCTCCTATAAACCTCTTTGTTTCCTTTACAAACCCTTCCCTACGTGAGTAGTTCATGTTCCAGGAATCTCAAAGAGTGAATTGAAAAGTATCCAGATGTTTCCCAATACTATTTTCTATTCCTGGGTCCATGATAAGATGGTTTACCAGGTGGATATGATTCAGTGATTATGGTGAGAGTAAGACTACACATGTATCAGGAAACACTATCAACATAGCCACTTATAGCTGATGAAATACATAGAAAGCAATAACTAAAAGCCTGATTGGCTCTAGAAAGCCATATTGATCTTCTTCTTACCATATATGACCAACTATGATGAAGCACAATAATAATTACATCAATAAAATATTTATAATTAAATTCTGTTATAAATTTCTCTTTCACTAGTATTTATAAATCATGTATTTAACAAGCACCCTCTAACTTAGAATCTCTCAAATTATATTTGCTCCCATGTTGTGACCAGTAACAAAGGGAATTCCAGGTTCAGTCACATGTTTTACCAGAATCAGTCTTCAACCATGGGCATCTAATCCCTGGTTATATTTCATTAGTATCTATAATATATATATATATATATATATATATATGCATATGTATGTATATACATGTTGCATGTATGTATGTATTTTGGGCTCTTAGTTCAGCTCTTCTCTTACAACTTTCAAGCATTAAAGGGCACGTGTCTAGTAAAGTTCCTGAGTTATGGTGAACACCACTCACTTTTCTCTCAGACCATTTCATTGACAGACAAATGAAGGTCTTTCGAAAAACACTAACTGGGGCATCTAATGGCTGAGTGTCCACTCGTAGAAATACGGCAGAAGTGATACTACCAAAGGTCTTTTAGTAACCCACTAGCTTTTTTCCCGTCTTCTTGGGCATGGACTACTTTCCAAGGGTCTGTTCTCTTTTTCAGGAGCTCCTGTCAATCTCCACCAGGATCCATCCCTTTCCTGAGTCACAACTCTGAAATCCTCTATTGCTTCTTTTTAGCAAACACATTGAGACAGAGACAGAATAACAGATGAAGAGAGTACTGAACTAAGAAGCCTGCCATGGCATATGATCACAGGATGAATCTCTTAATGCAGATTTTGACACCTTTAAACTTGTCCACTAAAATACTTCTCTTTCCAGGAAAATCCATGTGCCTGTGGCTTCATGAGCTTTTACAACATTCACCCTATTTATTTTCACTTTCTTTTATTTTCTCCCTCTCCAGATATTCTCCTGTCATTATACTGTCCCCAATGTTTCTTCTTGTAATCATTCTCCATACGGTATCTCTATTTCTCATCTTTACTTTTGTCCATAACTAATGGATGAACTTATTAGTCAAGTAATGCTACAATTAACTTCAATGTGAGTATTGCCAGGAACATAATTGTTACCTGTATTAGACATTTTCCAGAAACAACAGCATTGGACAAATCTGTTTACTCACCACTCTGGGGCACTCTTTTTGGCCACTGGAATGCAATTTCTTCTTTAACAGATTTACACATGATTGAAACCTTGATGCATAAGGATCCTTAATGGATACATAGCTAATTGGAAGCATCAACTCATCAAGTTTTATAGACCCAATTGTTTTCTCTGCTTGGTGATGCAGAACTTTCCCATCTTAATCAGGTTTTATACAACCTTTGAACAGATTCCGACACCATTTCTGAGGTACATTTTACTCCATCTCCAAGAGAACTCATGGCTAATCTCTATGTAGAAATGAGTCAACCTTTCATTTGAATGAGAATACAAATCTGACTTCTCAAATTCATTTTTAGTATCAATTTCAGTGATTTGTCATGGAGTATCTAAGGTATATAAATCAATAAGATTCATTTTGTTGCATATCAAAAATGACAAGCATTTCAATATCTCATTAGAGAATTCCTCAATTCTAGCCAAGAATAGAGCTTAGGAACTTGAGTTTTTCTTGATCACCTATCTTTTTTTCAGACACACCATAAAAATTTAAAAACCACATTTCAACCGTAATTTATGAACTGTTAACTTGTAGTAACATGTTATGTTCACTGTAAAACATATACAAAAATAGAAAATGTTAAATAAATAAAAATTAGAATCTCTGATAGTTACTTCTCATCCAATGAGTGGTCTTATATGCTCATATTGAAGACTTGTGCTGCCATGTAGAAGAGAAGCCATCAAAAAGAGTACTGTGCAGTTACAGCAAAGGACGGCCCTCAGCTCCTTCACTGTCTTCTCTGCCTTTACCTTCCCCAGTTGTTCAGATTCAGGTTTATGGCCCTCCTTTTTGCAGCTGTAACTCTATGCTGATAACATTTAAAACTTTGTCAATTTAAATAAAATAATCAGTGGAGACTTGGATGGAGAGAGGAAATAGTAAAAATTTAAAAGTTACTTCAATGCTGGAGATGTAGCTCAGTGGTAGAGTACTTGCCTAACAAGTGCAATGCCCTGGCTCAATCCCCAGCAGTGCAAAACACATAAATAAATTAAAATAAAAGTTATCTCCACATTTGAGGAAAGGAGTGTACTGAACAAGAAGGTAGATTTAAGGTACAGAAGAATGTGTTTTTTTTAACCACTTAATCTACAAACTATGAAGGAACAAAAACTCTTCTTCCACTCTCTCTGTAGGGTTTTCTGAACATCGTACATGATTTCTGAGATGGAATTTCTATGAATGCAGTGACTGATTTGAGGCAATATGCGTATATCATAGCAGAGACTGTCAAGGATGAGGATGGTGGCAAGACTTAGGGTACATTATCTGTAAAGATTTTAAAAGCAAAATAAAACTGAGTAAAAGCCCAGGGTCTGGGCTGAAGATGGTGGAACTTGCTACCTATGAATATGAGAAGATAAGATAAAAAGGGAGGCTGAAGACAGTGGGAAAATATCAGGCTAGTAATAACCTTGTTGAGTCCCTCCAAAAAACTCTGGAATCATGTACAGTGCTTCTGCTTCAGTAGGCTTTCTTATTTTTAAGCCAGTGTTAATCTGGTCTTCTGTTACTTTTTCACAGATGGGATTAGCCAGGAACACTAAAATTTTGTCTGAACAGGTGTTAAGTAAATGCCCTTACTCAGAAGACCACAAAGTAACCACTTCCTGATGAAGGATCATACAAGGAGGTTCTAATAGGGGACAGGCAACAGAAGGCCCAGGTGTTGCATTATTAAGTTGCCAGGAAGAGAGGAGATAAGCAAAGATAGCTGCTGCTTATCATGAACAAACAAAAGCTTATCATAATCAAGTGTCAAGCCCCAGATGGCAGAGTTCTAAGGAATCACACTTAGAGTGTGTTTGCATGTGTGTGTCACACCCCAAATTGCATAGTTCTTAGGAATTGTACCAAGAGTGTGTTTATATGGGTGTGTGCACTTGTATGTTAAAGAGTGCCCAGGTCTATTATAGCACAGGGTATTAAAGCATCATTGCCTTGCCAGACCTTACAAACCTTGTCTGAGGTTTTTGGTGAGTGAATCTGCTCTGCAGAAACCCTTTCTGCTTCTCCAAACAGCTGAAAAAGATTCCTTATTGATACTACTGTTCTTCCTTTCTTACCCTCTTGAGTCTATCAGTGTTGTCTTCTCCTTTCCCTCAAAACAACACAGAAGCTCAGAGATTTCATCTTATTTCCATTTTTCCTCTAAGCCCCAGGACACTGACCTTCTACAGGATGAAGCCTACAACTTGCCTCCTTCTTATCTTTATCTCCCTTCTCCAGCTGATGATCCAGGAAATACTCAGTGTACCATAGATTCCGCGGTGAAGGAAAAGATCCAGAAATATCTCAGTGGTCTAGGTAACTGATGGGGGTAGGAGGAAACAAGAGGTTAATCCTTGTTCATTCCTCCTGTTTCTAAACCCTAACTTTATCTCTATCCTATCCCAAGATCCCAACCTCTAATCAGTGCATTCATGTCTCATCTTTCTGCCCAGGGCTTCCTTCACTATTATAACCCTTTTGGGACTCTTGTCTAAATGCTTATTTCCTTGATAAGGAGGAAGAGGGAGAGGATGGTAGCCATAAATTATGGACATTTATTATGAATCAGGCATAATATGTAGATCAGTTCACTTAATTTTCACAGCCACTTTATGAGGTGAGTACAAATATTATCTTCACTTTACAAATGAGGAAAATAAATCTTTAAAGTTAATGAGTAGCCTGATGTGGACACAGTGACACCTCCAAGGTAGAAGAGAATTCTAAAGAGGATTATGAGAAAAAGAAATCATGGACAATATATCCTTTCTTCTCTCCTATTCAGGGTGTAATCCCTCTGGTCCAACAAAGAAGCTCTCCTGCATCAGTATCAAAAATTCAGGCAGAGTAGCCACCTGTCCTTCTGGTGAGTAACTCTGCAATGAGGAATTATGGGTAAGATGTCCCACGTCCTACTCATCTACCCTCTAGCACCTACACTTTCCCCTAACTAAGCCACAATTCCTGGTTACCCGAGGTCCTTTGCCCATTCTGAGGATCTCACAGTAGGATGCTACTGAGGGATTTGATGTTCCTTTTACTTCTTCCTTTCATGCCCTATATTCCAGCACTTCCTCTCTTCAATTGTCCTGTCATGGTTATGGCTTTCATTTCTTTCTCAATTTACTCCTCTGTGTTGGAAGATAGGGAGCCCAACTTCCAAGTTTCTCACTTGCTTGGGCCTCTTCCATAATTTTTTATATTTTTTCAGTAATTTTTGCATTTTTATCTTGAAGAGGGCTTTCAATTTTGAATTAGCTTTAGGTTCACATTCCTGTAAGCTCTATAAGAATGAGAGAAAGTTACTAGTGGGCCTTCCAACTTTCCCAATCCAGGGGCTCTAATATCTGTGTCTTATATGCCTATGCAGGGATGATTGTCACTGGTTGTGCTTGTGGTTATGGCTGTGGTTCGTGGAATGTTGAGGGGCAAAACACATGCCACTGCCAGTGCAGTGTGATAGACTGGACTACTGCCCGCTGCTGCCACCTGGAATAAGAAGAAGGATGCTGAGAACCCAATATTGTGATTCCAACCAGGAAAGCTGACTCAAACTGTTCCCTTCACTTATTACAATTCTGCTACTTGGGTAATAAAGACAAATTTTGCACATCTCTGTGTTTATGTCTTTGGTGTTATTACTCCTAGCTGAGGACTCCTGTAGCCAGAAAATGTTTTCTGTATCTCCATAGTTACATCTCAGTATGACACATGGGATGCGTGGTTAGCAAAGATATGGGAAAATGGGGGAAATAAACCAATATTCCAGCTCCCCACCTCCTTAATTATTTAACAAAAAGTACCATGTATATTGCTTAGCCTAAAATCCAGAGAAATAAAATAACATGCTTTTATGGAGCTCACCAACTAGAATAGTGGCTCCAAGCTGGGGGACAGAAGACTTTCCAAGGTTTAGGCAGGCAAAGGCAGTGTTAAAGAAGTTAATTTCTAGATTTTCAGCAGGTAAATGTACTTTTTCCTAAACTAAAGTGCCTATGATGTGCTTTGATCACGGTGACTTCTTTCACTAGTGCCTTTCTTCCAGATTAAAAAAAAGAAAAGAAAAGCATAGTCCTCTGCTGTCATTCAGTTACTACAGATGCCAAACCAAGGAATAGTCAATGATATTGGTACAAATATTTGAGTTAGTAAATGAGCCAGTGACAAGACAACAAGTGCTTTTACAAGTTGGGAGGCATTGGGTTTGGGACTTCACAGTATTGAAGAAGGGTGTAATCCAGTTGCCAACCCTTAAGTCACCAAAAAACTATTTTGATGTTATATTGACAACTCAAGAGGAATTCAAACAAATAAACTATTACTATAATAAAAATCTTCTCTTCCTATCTTCCTATCTACTTAATTGTAAGAAGGCAGTATCTTAAAGCTAACAGCTAAGAAAAAATGGAGAAATATAATTGTGTTCAAGCTTTATGAACCAGACTGTGACACTATTGTGTTCAAATCATGTTACTGACCTCCCATACATGAAAAATAAAATCCAAAATATTAATTGTGGCTGATAAAATCCTGCATTCTCTGGACACTGGCTATATCCCTGACCTCAGTTCTGAACCTTGCTATGTTCTTTTAAGTTACACTCACCCTTCTACCTCAAGTCCTTCCTACTCCATATCCCCAAGATAGGTATTTCCTACATATGCTGTCATTCTTTAATGTATTCTCCCTCCCCCCCAAAAAAACCTTGCTTCACACACTTTCTCTTGCCCTGGTTCTTTTTTTCTCATAATTTCTGTTCAGTCTTGACTTCCTAACATATATTTCCCTGGTTAGTGAAGCATTAACTATCCCCTAATTGGAATATGAGATCATTGATGAAACATAAGAACCTTTTCTAATTTGTACATCATCGAATCCCAACTCTGAGTACAAGTCACCTCCTTATTTTACTTCTATACATCTTCCTTTAACTCAGTCATGGTCATAGGGGAGCAGACATTGTTTTGACAGGGGTACATGGGTCCATTTTCAAGGTGTCAGTAGGAGAAATAAGTATTCATCCTCTGAGAAAGAAAGGCTGGAGAGTGAAGGTGGAGGACAGATGTGAGCAACAATAGGTGCAGAAGTCAGATTTTTGTAGCTCAGGCCAACATAGTTGCCCACTTAGTGACCAATTTTCCCTTTCTTGGTGTTAACAGAATCCTGATTTCATTCAGGATGTCCAGTCCTGAAGAATAAATAATAATAATTGTTATTATTATTATTATTTGCCCAGACTGAGGCTTGAACTCAGGGACTCACACTTGCTAGGCAGTTGCTTTACCATATGAGTCACTCTTCCAGTCCCCTGAAGGATAAATTATTATTTAAACCAATAATGGAGCTCCTGACTCCGTTGGCCAAATATTCTGTTTCCTTACCATCTTTGTGAGGGGTGAAGTAGCAAGAGTGTCTAGTCACATAAATCAGACCATAAGAGAACCCTGCTTGAGTTTTGTGAAAGAGAGTCTGCTTCCTAAATAAAAAACAGACATTCAAAATTGTCCATGAGCCTTGTTTCTTGGGTTATTTGGTTAAGGATATGATGTCTGGAGCTATGGTAGTTATCTTGTGTCCATGGAGTTAGTTCAACCATCTTATGACATTTTAAGGAAAACTGTAAGGATAATGAAACAGAAAGAGGAAAAGAACTTAGTTCTGTGATCATATCACTCCACCACTGAAAAATCTCTGGAATCATCTAAGGCACATTTTTTCATAAAGAAATAATAAGCAGTCCTATTCATTAACAAATATTTATTAATTCTTACATACAACAATCACTGGTATTTAGTGGTAGCCAAATAAGACAAAGAATACTACCTTCAAGAAGATTTCATTCTATTTCTAAATCTTCTTTTTTAATTTCTTAAAAAATAGTTTATTTTATTTTATCATTTTTTCATTTACTTACATGAATGTACATTATTTGGGCCATACCCCTACCCACCCCACCCCTGCCTCCAGGTAGAACCTGCTCCACCCTCCTGTTCTCCAATTTTGTAGAAGAAAAAACATAAAAGAAAGTAAGAAAAACATGGTGTTTTGCTAGTTTGAGGCTATATAAGAAGATTCCTTGTTGTTTCTATGCCTATGTGTATTATTATAACCCAAATTGGTTCATCTCTACCAGACTTCTTCACTACTCCTAGTCCCCTTCCCACAGTGGCCTCAGCTAGTTTAAGATTACTATATTCGTGTTCCAGCTGGGATTTTTTTGTTACTTTCCCACGGACAGAAGTAGTCAAGGTTAATGTCATGTTATTTGAACAAATGACAATTAGTGCCCTTAGACCACACGTTTTCTACCATTTCTTGTTGACACTATAAACAAAAGGCTTGCAATGATAGCAGTCATCAGACCTGGAAATTTCTGGGAGAGTAGCTGCCAGGCTTGTGGAGCTGCAGAGAAGAAAGAAAAAGGCAGGAAGTCTTCACTAAGCAAAGCACTGGAAGAAAGGCAGCTAGAACTTTTCAGGGCACATACTGGAAATTATTGCAGGTTCTTTCTAAATGTTTGACACTTTCGGGAGAAGGAATGGCCTTATGACACGCCACAAGTCTAAGAAGTCCTGTCCTCCCAACCTCAGCAGCCCTTGGCTAACCTTGGCTGGTAAGTCCAATGCCCAGCTGTCCATTCTGACATCTTTACTTCTCAAGAAATCTGCAAAGAGATTCAGACCTCTTTAGTCATGCTGCTTCTTCCCCTTCTCTGCTCCCTACAGCACTGGCATTTTTTCCCTAGTTCCTTTCCTTCCTTACCCTCAGTTAACATTCTTGGGTACTTACTATGTGTCAGGTGTTCTATTATTATTTTATTAACTCCTCACTACAATGTCATGAGGTTAAGCACGATTATTTCATAAAAGAGGAAACTAAAGCTTAGGGAAGTTACATAATTTTTGTCTAATAGCACACAGCTGTGACTTGATTCTGGTCCTCGTGTCTCAATTGTATGAACAGAAAGGTGGTATGCAATTTGAGGAAGGAGACCAGCCAGTGAAGGTCCCTGTCTTAGCTCTTCATCTGTCCCACAGATTGTAAGCCCCCAGGTTCTCTGAGACATCTGTCCTATAATAGCATTATCAATGAAATATACTGTGTCTTCCTGCCCCTCTGGTAGGTAATTATATGGAAATGAAGAGGCTTGCCTACCCATGCCTACTCCCATTTACTTAGGCTCAGGCTGCCATCTTATCCCTGCATTGGCATATCATCCCCACTCTCGGGATTGTAATGTAATTGGGTTGATTCAGAACCCTCATACTTGTAGTTCTTCTACTTTTTTCTCCAAAGGGCTATTTAGGAATCTGGCTTTTATTTCCATTGCCTTTCCTCTTCTTTAATTTTCCCTACCTCAAATTTTCCTTTTTTCCAATGTCTTACTCCTCCTCTTCTAAGTCTAATCCTACACTATTTCTGCCCTATGAGGAGGAAAGCTACCTAACATGTGAAAAGATAATTGGAAGGAGGGCTTCTTTTAAAATCTAACAACACTGGTCTTCTTTCACCTCCTCCTGCCCCTGCCATCAATGCTATGAAGGGTACATCATTACCAGATTTTCATGTGGCTATATCTGTGGCTTATGGGACATCCTGGGGGAGACACATACAGAGCAATCCTGTAGGGTGGACCACTGTCTACTGTTGTTACTAATCTACGAAGACAGAGAAATCAGTGTGGATATCATGAAGGTGATAAAACCATGACCTCAGCCAGGAAACCTTTCCTACTACTCATCTAAGCCACAATTCTCAACTCAAGTCCCTTTTGTCTGCGAAACTCTGCTCCCCAAATCATGATAGTCTTGGCATCTCTCTGTGCTTGCATTTTCAGGGTTACTAGCTCCTGGCCTGGATCTTCTCTATCTATAGAATGTCTCCGCTACCCCATGTGCTCCAACTCATGCTGGGAGGCCATGGAGAGAATCAGAAGAGCTGAAATCAACCTCTTTCCTTGAACACTACCACATCATTCTTCTACAAACATTTAGCCACATAGTTTCAGGATCTGATCTTGGCATTAGATGTACGGGAAAGTAAAACCATGCACATGCCCTAAATGTATCCACTTTCTAATACACTTCTTAGACATCAAGGCACATATGCTTTGCATCCATTCAAGAGCAACTGGATGTTTTATCCATTAACCCTGACCACCACAAACTGTTTTAAAATATGGGTTCTAATATTATTCAGACATGGTATGGCCAAAGGATCAGGAGATGCATGCCATTGAAAAGGTAATTATACACACAGATCCTAAAAGAAAGGGGCATGCCATGGGGGGGCACTTTTCTGTCAGGCTGATTGTTCTCAATGCCTTTGGTAAGGAAAAGGCATAAATCATCAATCTGTTACAGAATCTTATAGCCTAACACCTATGATTCATAGACAGTCTGCTTCAATTTTATAACAGGAACTTAACATTAAAAGATTTGTAGTTATTGGATTTGAGCATTGTGAGGGAAAAAGATAAAAATGGTACCACTATCCAA